CTTTTAACAACAGATTCTATCATTAAGAACGCATGTAACAACAGAGACAGCAGTTTCAAGTTTGTCTTTCCTCTCTTTGTCCATCTCTTTCTGTAAGGTGGCAGGAGCATGCTTTCAGCACATGGAGCAAGCAGAGGGACTGCAGGTATAAACGGAGCGACGTTCAGAGTCTGAAATACACTGCATTACACATGTGGCTGTTCTTGGAAGTCAACCATTTCTGAAAGTTATTCCCAAGAGGCATGATGTACTATAAGCACTTAAGAAATGTGTTACACTGTGACTGGAACCAAGATGAAATAGCAATATTAAAAGAGATGGTTTAGTTTATGTAGTGGCCAACTATGCCATTAAACTAGAACAATGGAGACGATGGGGAGGCAGGAATGTTCTTCAGTGTGATTTATTCCTTTCCAGTAGGAGTGGAAATTTTTCCTATAGGCCTGAAAATGACCCTGTCTGCCAAGCAAAAGTCAGCATTAAGATATAAGAATCCTACTAGATTAGTCACCCTGGGATACTCTGCTCTCACACAGCACAGGGATCTCAAAGCCCTCTTCCAGGATGAGTCAAAACTCAGCCTTCTGAGCTCCACAAAAACCATTAGGCCTTAGCACTGCTGTTGTCAGACACCTCACAAAGAGGGAAACTGAGGCTTGAAAAATTGATTAAAAACAGGCAAAGAAGGCTATATGAAAGGATCAACAGAGAAACAAAGGCTTCCTGGATCCTATGCTTTACAGGAAATGTGCATCTTTCTTGAAAGGATCATTGTTTGCTGCAGCTGAGAGCAGCTGGGTCAGCCAAGGCAAAAGGAAATGTTATCAGGCAATGGTTATCAGCAAACAATATAATGCCATTTCCACTTCTGCCAGCCAATTAGACCTGTGCTGCCTGCTGACACATGTGGGAAAGGCTATCTCCTCCAGAACAAACCAGGCCTTGGCACTTAAGCCCTGCTGTTTTTATACAGCTGCATCAGCTACACAGGATGACTCTGTGCATCCACCTGCTCTTTGTGCTCCCATATTCTGACATTATGGGAGCTGCCATGCCGGACACTGCTCTACGCTCCCCATGAATATGAAGGCAGCCCCAAAGTGTCCTGATCAGACCCCAGTTTCACAATAGGACAGTGAATTCTGAGTCCACCAAGGGGCCTATGGAGAAGGACAATAGGGATGTCTAAAATGTCATCCCTAGGAAGAGGCATATCTGATTACAAAAGATGCTTCTGCACCCTGCTCTTTCAATGATCCCATAAATGACATTGTGAAGCCTCAGCAGGAAGAACAGAGGGAAGCCCCATGTTCACCCCCTCCAAATTCTCAGCCCTGCTCTCCCCCTCTCTGCAGCCTGGCACACAAAAGTGGGACCATGTGCAGCTGCACAGGCTATGCTCCTCCGAGTTATCTCCCTCAAAAACAGCCTCCTACCCACTTCCTTCCTCTGCAGAGTAATGAGGTGCTCTTCAGCCTCCTGCTGCCTCTCCCAGCAGTCTGGTTCCAATCTCAGGGATGCCACATGAGACAGCCACCCCAGAGCAATGGCATATGTGGCCAGAGGTCCTCCTGCAGCAGCGCAGCAGCCACGCAGGTGCTGAAATCTCCCCCCGCCCTGGTCCTGAACTGCAGAGTCAGCTCGCAGGGACAGAGAGAACTAGGACGGTTCAATCAGTCAGGATGAAGCACCAGGCAGAAACACGAGGTACCAGCCAGCTGACTTAGAGCAAACGACTCATTTCCCAATGCACACAGCCCACCTCTTCCTTTAATCCCTCCTCAGTGCCATGGAGGCTCAACACTGCTGGAAAAGCCAAACAAAGTTCTCTCTCCTGATGAAATTGTGCTATTGATTACTCGTTAGATTCTGACATCCCCACTCCAAGAAAAGTCCTCCTCACCTCAAAAGTGTTTTGCCTGAAGAAGTACATCCAAACCTCAGAGAGGAGCTCAGCTTTTGTTGCCTAAAAATCAGGCTCTCACTTCCCAATATGTGTTTTAAATAAATCATCAAACACATCAAAGGTTCACTTCCAGCTTCCACTTCAGGTATTTCTACTTCCACAATGCAAACTATGTCCAGGGTGGAATAAGGGTTTCTTTGTTTGCATTTTTGCCTTCTAAAACAGAAACCTACACAAAAGGAGACAATTTGTTCCTACACAAAATCTGTTTGTTTTGTACATATTGCTGGGTTGCACTCATTCAACTCCAACACTAATTGTCAAAAGCACAGATACCAAACTTGCTCACGTTCCTCTAGCAGTGGGAAGGGAAAACGAGAGATCAGCTGACTGTGTGCAAGCATTTACCAACCTGCCTGTGCTGTCAGTGCCCTCTGTGAGTAATGGGTGTTTCACAATCCGAAATACGAGCAACTGGCCCAGCTGTATATTCCTCAGCCAGCAGTTACCAGACTGTTTTCCAGGCTCAGGAGAAAAGGAAGACAGGACTGTGTCAACACTTTCACCCCAAGGCGTGCTCTGATTCTCAGTGGGGCAGGTGCATCTTTCATGGTATCACAGCAAGCATCGTTTGTCAGAGCAGGACTGGCACTGACTAACCTCTGCACATCACGAACTAGTGGCTGCTAATCACAAAACTGGAGCTCACAATGTGATAAAGAAGCTTGCTCTTAACCCACACATCTATTTTCCCCCTCAACCCATGCCTTTTTAAGAGATTGAAGTAATCTCCTGGGGCACTGCCCTGGAGCCACTGTAGCACCATTGGAGCAGAGGCAGGACTTGTTCAAGTGTTTTTACTCAAAATTAAAGCTGCTGTTTCCCACTTCTGGCACATCCCATAGGAATCAGTCATTACCCCAGAGTCTCAACTACAGCCTTTACTTTTAAAGGATCCTTTAGAAACACACACATTCTTTGTCTCAAAGTTACTACAGCTTGCCTAAAGTAAGTAAATCCCCAATTCCTGATTACATTGCAAGTGATTCAGAAGAATTAAATTGGGGTCTCTGTGTCAGTGGGTCTGCCAAGCTCGTGTAGCAGCACGGTGTCTGCACAGCCAGCTTCAGCTGCTCCCACCACTGACACATCAGTTTTGCTGCCTGTTGTTTGCAAGGAGAGTCCAGGCAGCAACAGGGGAACAAACCGTAAATACAGGATGCATTATGAAACATTGGGCACTGGTTGCAGGATTTCAGAGGAAATAAGGGAAAATGTAACAAATTATTTTCAGCTTCTCTTTTTAACATACGTGGGAATCAATGGGGTTTAACCAGGAGCATGACTTTAAATTCTGCAATGGTAATGGTGGGATTGGGCAGGTACATGCTACTGTATAAAACAAACTGCTGCTCTTCCACACATAAAAGAAGGCAGGAGACAGAGTATCACTCGCAGCACTGCCTGAAGCACGCTGGCTGTGTCAACACACTATGTCGCTTTGGACTGTTAGTAATATGCAACCCATCCAACAACGATGCCATGAAATATTTTAAAATTAAATTATATTAACCTCTTCAGTTTAATTAGCATGTTAAAAATATAAAAGGAAAGCAGATGTGAGCATCATGGATGTGTGTGCTGAATATTAATAACAAAAAGCATCCCCTCCCCCTTGGAGGATAAAGCAAAGTTGGTTCGGTCATTTTGCAAAATAAACCCTGAATGTGTTCACCCTGTAGCTGACAATGAACCTCTGCTTTGTGTGCACACACACACAAAGCTGAAGCCAGAATGACTTTACTATGGGTAAACCTTTGAAGATCCAGCCCCGTCCAGCTGGCTGACAATGCTACAGCCCGAGTACTCCCCAGAAGCTCTGCCATCCACGTTTCTACCACACACACTTGTAAGGAAAAATTAAATGAACATCCCAAAACTGCCAGGCTACCCTTACGCTAGCCAAGACTCAGGTGAAGGCTGGCAAGATGAAATCCTGTGGCTCATTATTCTCACACTGATAGTGCCACGGGTCCGTGCGCTGCAATAGCACCACATGTCAGCCCAGCCACACTCCACTATTTCTACCCACCAGCAGATGTTTTTTTTTCTTTTAAAGAGACACCAGTTTCCAGAATTTCACCTGGTGTATCACCTCTGCCTGAAAATCACACCAAGAAACAGGACTACCTCACAAAATGTGGTTGCAAACAGAAATGCTGTTTTTCCTTTTCCCTCAATATCCCAGCTGATAACTATTTACAGTTAACAACTGGGTTCATCGTGTATTTTATACAGCTCTTCTCTGTAACCTACTCTTCCCCTTGGTCTTACTTGTATTCATGCTGCCAGTCATCATTTTAATGCATTCATAATAATTGATTTCCATCTTTCCCTTTATTCTGGCTGCATATTAACCCTACAGTGCCTCAAAACACACTGGTTTACTGGAACCAGCCTAAGGCGTCATTGTTCAAGACAGCAAGAAGTGTGCATTTCTACTCATCTTCCAAGGAAGAAAAAAGAGAAAAATAAGTCACATTCCTAGCTACTGAACTTAGCCTTAAAGCTTTTGCTAGTGCTTTCACACACCTGCCCACCCTCCACCTCCGACTTAAGCTACGATTTTTATTGACATACACTAATTACCTGAAAATAAGAATGATCTATTCCATTTCCACCAGCTGCCAGTTGTCAGCACTGGCTGGAAGTGAGTAGGCTTGTTTAAAAGAACAAAACAAAGCAAAATAAAAAAAATCTACGCTCAAAAATAAAACAAATAGTAGTCATCATAAAAAACAAAACCCTAAAGAATGCCACCGGATCTCAGGTACTGTCGGGTGTGCTCAGAAAGGACTGAAGGCAGACAGATTTGAATGGACTGCTCAGTTTGTCACGGTAAAAAATACAGAGATTTAAAGGTCTACCCACGCGGCAAAAAAAAAAAAGAAAAAAAGAAAAAAGAAAAAAAAGAACCACCAAAAAAACCCAACCCTGAATTAAAGAACAAAAATAAAATAAAGTCAGAAATGCAGCCTCAATGCATCGACTGTCTGCGCTTAAGAGATTTACAGGAGTAATTTAAATGATTCACCTGCTGCCAGTTTTCCTCCAAGGATGGCAAAGCTGAGAAGTAGCCGGTGTCGTGGACAAGCTGGAGTTCCTGGAATATACTATAACTAGCCAAGACATCCATGCTGCTGCTGAGCAAGACCCTTTCTTTCTGCTTTTGTGTGTGTTTGTTTGCTCGGGTGGGGGGTTGTTTTTGGTCATAAAAAAAAAAAGGAGGAGGAAAATCAACCAATGATAGATCCAGCGTCCCTTTGGCTTTGTTTTGTTTCAGTCACACTTTAAAAAAAGAGAGAGAGAGAGAGAAAGCGGATCAGCGCGGAGGGACGGCGAGGTTCGGGGGCCGGGCCGAGGAGGACGAGCGGCGCCGGCGCGCACCGAGCACCCCGCGGCCGCCGCACGCGAGGGGCGCGGCCGGAGCGGCGGCGCCGGCGGCGATTGGCCGGGAGCGCTGCTCCCGCCCCTTCCCCGAGGCTCGCGAGGCGGCGCGCGGCGAGCTATTTTTAGGGCGCTATATAAGAGGGCGGCGAGGCGCGTGGTGGTGGCAGAGTGCGGCGCGCTCGTGGTCGGGCTGAGGGCGCCGGGCGGACCGTGGCCCGGCGCTGCAGGCATCCTCCGCTTTTCCCTCACCGTGTGCGCCCCTCTGCCTCTCCCCAGCCTCTAGTGCTCGAATTCCTGGGGCTTATGAAGGTGTTGGAAGGAGTGGGAGTGGGAATATACCCCGAGCGGGAGCCGCCGGCACCAGGAGCAGGTGCGCGGTGCCTGTGTGGGCAGACCACAGGAGCCCGGCGTCTGAGTGCTGATCGGCCAGGCCGTCCCCAGAAATGCACGTGTGCTTGCTAAGGCATCTATCGTGGCATTTCATCAGGCTGAGCCCTCTCTGAGTGCTAGTTTGGGTTGGCTAATGAGCTGTTTGACCTTAAATGGTTAGTGTGGTGCAGAGCTTCCCCAAAATCACTCTGGCACCGGGCACAGTTGCATTTCTGCTTTTGGAAGGATTGCAGAACTGAGTGCTCATTTGAAGATGATGGGGGTGGGGAGGGGCTTCCAGTAATAGAAGAAATATGTTCTCTTTGTTGCTCTCAAATTCAGAGGGCCCTATGGTCCCATGGGTTGCATGGCCAGGGTTGGATCTGGCCGCCAGGCTGCAGGATGAAGGTCCCTCTGGTGCCCTTTGATGGTGGGTTGTCAGCGCTGTAAGTTGGACTGGGTACCACGGCAAGCAGATGCTGCCAGGGATTGCTAAACTATCTCTTTGTAGAGCAGTTGCATCACACTTCCCTTGCCATGACTAAGATATCTTTCTTGCTTTTCTCTTCCCTTTGCACCTGGATGAGCGTGCCAGGGCCAGGCCTCAGCTGGTATTCATTGGTGCAATGCCTCTAGCACAGACACATCTCTTCCCTGGTGTCCCAGTCAGACTGATGTGAGAGTATGAGGCCACAGAATTTGTCAGTGCCAATTAGTTCGTGGTATGTTTTGTTTCTTGGCAATAAAGACAAATTGCCTTTTCTAAAACTGGGTCCATGTCAACAATTTTGAAAACTGTATTTGAAGAAGGCTTGTCAGAATAAACCTCTCCGGAAAGCCCAAATAATGGCTGCCCCAATCCCAAGTTCTTGTAGGTGCTGTGAAAAATGAGAGAGACTAAGCACCTCTCTAGTCTGAGGAGTCAAAATGTAGAGGAAAAAGTGGAAATGAAGATTCCTTTGTGAAGAACTGCAGTAATCAGGAAAGAACTGGACATGGGCTATTTTCTCAAATAAATGGTCTCACCACTATAAAAACACGCGGTGGCTGCACTGAAGAAACAGCAGGATGACTTGCAGGAGCTGTTTCTCAGGTGCTGACCTGAGGCTGTGGGTCTGGATGGTCCAGGGGAAGCTCCCTTGAAGCTGAAGGTCTCCTGTGAGCTGCTTGTGGAAACAATGCCATCCCCAGCCTTCACCTGGGGAGCTGTAGGTCGTCTCAAACAGGACCATTCCTGGCATCTTCAGCTTAGCAGAGAAGCTGTGTGTGAGGCTGGGCATGAATAATAAACTACTCTTTCTCATAAATATAGCCATAAATGTGTAAATGTATGTGTTAGTGGGAAGATGAGAGGGAAGGTTAGCGCAGCAAGCACTGCTGGAGAGGTCTTGCAGACCATCGTTACCCATTCCAAGCATGCCTCAATCTGGCAAGGCAACGCCTTCCCTGGGCACCTTGGGAAGGGAAAACTTTTAAAGACTGTAGAGGAGAGAACTCAACAAAGGTGGTCAGCTGTGGAAAGAAGCAGCACTTGGGTACCATAGCACACTCCTGAACTGAGAGGGTTACACAAGAAATACCTGTTTCAGAAAAAGCTGTCTGTAAGCATTTATCCTTAACGGCTTGTCAGAACAAGGCCGAATGCATATGCAGAGGCTTTTCTGACCTAGGCAGAGAAATAAAGGACACAGGCAGTGAAGGTTTATGCTCTCAGCTACTTAAATATCTACATGTCTTAAGCTTTTTGTCTTTGAATTCTGTAATTCCCATAGCTGAAGAACATTTTGGTGCTTTATTTCTGACCTTGTTTATCATAACTACAATTTTAATATGTAGAAATGTTAGTGGTCTGATGTCCAAGCTCCCCTCTAGCTGGGCCTGTGCAAACTATGGGTTGCTCATGCTTTGGTTTACTGCAAAGCTTGATGTACAGGCAGCCCAGGAGCCCTCTCTGCTTGATAGTCACCTCTGCTTGCCACTGAGAAGCACTCATTTGAATAAATTAAAATATTTCTAGTTGTCTGTCTTATCCTGAACTTTCTGCTGAAAGCATGCCCTGTAGAACTGCCAGCATTCTACCCTCATGGAAGAGGTTGTTCTCAGTTGTGGAGCTCAGCTGCTCTACACCAGCAAAGAGCCCAGACTGCCCAGGCTGCACAGTAACTGGTGGCCAGATCTGATGAGCAGATGCTGCTCTGCTTCTCTGGCTGGCTTCAGGAGGAATTGTGTCTGAGGGCAGGATTTTGGCTGTGAGCCTTGAGGTGAAGAGCTGGGCTACAGATCTGGCCGCTTGCCTGGGTGGTTTCCAGGCAGACATTGCATTTTTATTGTCTCAGATACTTTGCTTTGGAGGTCAGTCGAGAAAGCAGAATGGGGTTGTCACTTGGCAGAAGCAGAAAACCTAGACAAAAAAAGAATGTGGTGGTACACTGGGTATAAAACTGTTAGTCCAGCACTGGAGGTGGCATCTACCTGTGCTAACCCAGAGGTAACAGAGGGCAGTTTCTGCCAAGCTCTGGCTTCCCAGGCTGTACTGACCTTTCTCCTGGCAGATCGCCACTTTCCCTCCTCTGGCCCACCACGCCACCCATCACGGAGAGCAGCGCAATCAGATGTGGAGGAGGAGCCATATCTCCCCACTGCTACACAGCTGGGCTCAAGGGCACAGAGGACTGCACAAAAATTCAGGCAAAGGGAGCAGGCTGGACCTGCAGGGAGTAAGGACGGGCATTTCAGCCAGAGCACGGATTTGTCTCATAACAGGTAAAGAAAATAACTCGCACAAGGAGAAGACTTCATCATTCCTGTGACTTGGTGAAATGTCAGGAAGATGCAGGGAAGTGGTATGGCTGGTTGTGCTATAGCACCAGTGCTCTTCGGCACCTGGAAAGGGGAAGTGGTTCTATTTTTTACATTAAGGGGCAATGAGAGTGGTTAGTCCTAGTGAAAAGAAAGAAAGAAAATATTTCCCTGCTCCTTCTGCTCTTCAAGAGAAAGAGGAAAGGTATCTTAACTGTTTTCTCTGAGAAGCTTGAATTTATCACAGCCTGACATAGGTCCTCTGGCAACAACACTTTCTGTCCTCTCCAAGTAAGGAGTGCAAAATCACTCCCAGCATTTTGCTGACTCCCTGCAAGGCACTGGTGTGCACAGAAGCACACTTTTGATTGCTGATTGCTTTCCCTTGTGATATTTGTGTCCCCACTGCCCCAGAAGCAATGGCAAGGGATGCTTAGTGGGGACCCACCAGAGAAAGCTGATTTGCAGGTGACTTTCAGATGTTGATTTTGGGTTTCTTTGCTTTGGCTTGGGCAGAGACAAGATGCCATAAAGCAATCAGGGAGTATATCAATTCATACTGTAAACATTTCACTGAATACACCTCCTTTGGTACCAGTGATGTTTCAACAGCTACACTGAATTACTCTGTACACAGCTCATGATACAATTGTAAACCCTATGGTCTTCTGCATAGTCAACAGAAGTGCTAAAGCACTTTATTCCGCAGGGACAGATTGGCCCAGGTGTCCATGCTGCCAGTTCCTTCTACCATCACATTTGCATTTAGGCTGCCAGCTGCATCTCTTCCTCTCCTCCATCTCAGACTGAGCTAATACAGCTTCGCTGTGCTGAGAGCCTGTGACAGCATCGTTCAGAGGTGTTGATTCTTCAGGCTGTGTGCCTCCTGGAGAGGAAGAGGTTGTGCCTGCAGGTTGTGGTAGGGTTGAGGTTGCCACTGGCTGTAAAGCCTTGCAAAGATCAAAGAGGGGAAAAGTACTGATAAATGCACCAGAGTATGCTTGGATCTGCAGTTCAGCCTCTCCAGAAGTGGATGCAGAAAGCTGCTACCAGGAAAACGGAGGGTTTGTGGTGGTGGTTTATGTTCAGGTGGCTGTCACAGGCACAGTGGAAGAGCTCAGAGGTGACCCTGCTGTTCAGCATTGCCACTTCTTGATACTCCACTGCGTCTGTGCATCTGTATCCATGTCCACATCTGATGAGAAACAAAATCCAAACAAGCACAAAGCAGCAAAAAGGGAGACAACTGCCTTTCCTACAGTGAAGCACTTCTCTGTAGGCCCCAGAAATCCCTGGTTCCTCCTCCAGCTGGATACCTCACTCCTTCCAAACCTCTCATCCCCTTCAGACCTCATGTTCCTGGAGAAAGGTCAGTGCTGTTGGCCCCATGCCTGCACAGCAACATTTCAGTGACGTGGAGGGCTGTTCAGTATTTCATTGTTCCTTCTGGCAGGTGCAGCCCAAGACACAGGGAACAGAGGTTGCTGCCTTTCCTGCCTCCATGCAGCCATCAGTGGCACTTGACTCTGCCTGGACGGGACACGCTGAAGCAGGGTGGTGGCTGCTGGACATGAGTCTCTGTGCTGGACATGAGTGGGTGGAGGTGCCTCCTGGCCTTCAGTGAGTCACAGGCTGTTCCCCAGATCTTCAACAACAAAAGGGGACATGAGAGTATGACACAGCAGGTTCCTGTGCCTCCCCTCCTTCCAGAAAACACGCACCTTCTCTTTCAAATCAGTGCCCTGTGGACATTGCAATGGGCTTAATTGCAGGGCAGCTAATGAGCACTCTCCAGGATTAGAGATGGAATGAGTCTAACCTAAAATCATAGCTTGGGGCACCCAAA